CACAATTAAGTGTTCTGGAATTCCCATTCTTTGCAATGTTATCCATAATTTGTTACGATCCACACAGTCAAATGCCTTTGCATAGTCAATAAAACACAGATAAACATCTTTCTGGTATTCTCTGCTTTCAGCCAAGATCCGTCTAACATCAGCAATGATAACTGTCATTCCACCTTCTCTTCTGAATCCTGCTTGAATTTCTGGCAGTTTCCTTGTCAGTGTACTGCTACAGTTGTTTTTGAATGATCTTCAGCAGAATTTTACTTGTGTGTGATCTTAATGATGTTGCTTGATAATTTCCGCATTCTGTTGGATCACCTTTCTTTGGAATGGGCGCATATATGGGTCTCTTCCAGTCAGTTGGCCAGGTCATTGTCTTCCAGATTTCTTGGCATAGACGCGTGACCACCTCCAGCACTGCATCCATTTGTTGAAACATCTCAATTGGTGTTCCGTCAATTCCTGGAGGCTTGTTCTTCGCCGGTGTCTTCAGTGCAGCTTGGACTTCTTCCTTCAGTATCATCAGTTCTTGACCATATGCTACCTCCTGAAGTGGTTGAACGTCAACTGATTCTTTTTAATACAATGACTGTGTGTATTCCTTCCATCTTCGTTTGATGCTTCCTGCATCGTTCAGTATTTTCCCTGTAGAATCCTTCAGTATTGCAACTTGATGCTTGAAATTTTTCTTCAGTTCTTTCAGCTTGAGAAATGCCGAGTGTGTTCTTCCCTTTTGGTTTTCTATCTCCACGTCTTTGCACATTTCATTATAATACTTTACTTTGTCTTTTCGAGCTGCCATTTGAAATCTTCCTGTTTAGCTCTTTTACTTCATTTCTTCCATTTGCTTTAGCTACTCTAGGTTCAAGAGCAACTTTCAGAGTCTCTTCTGACATTCATTTTGGTCTTTTCTTTCTTTCCTGTCCTTTTAATGACCTTTTGCTTTCTTCATGTGTGATGACCTTGATGTCATCCCACAACTCATCTGGTCTTTGGTCATTAATGTTCAGTGTGTCAAATCTATTCTTGAGATGGTCTCTAAATTCAGGTGGGATATACTTGAGGTGATATTTTGTCTCTCATGGACTTGTTTAAATTTTCTTCAGCTTCCACTTAATTGAGCAATTGATGGTCTAGTCCATAGTCAGCCCCTGGCCTTGTTCTGACGGATGATATTGAGCTTTTCCATCGTCTCTTTCCACAGATGTAGTTGATTTAATTCCTGTGTATTTGGTCTGGTGAGGTCCACATGTATAGTCGCTGTTTATGTTATTGAAAAAATGTGTTTGCAATGAAGAAGTCATTGGTCTTGCAA